ATAGTTTATTCAATGGCACTCCCGGCCAGAGACCATGATAGCCTAGACCGGTTGAATGAAAAATACTGGTGGCTTCACGGTGAAGCTAAGCATTTAGATGAATTACGACGGAGAGCCAGAATCAGCCTATGTCAGATCCAACAACAGCAAAGAGTACGACCACTCTTAAACAGCCGAAGACGTCACAGGCAGTAAACTCTTCTGCTACCGCAGAATTTTGTAAATATTGTATATATTGTAAATTTTTAACCCTTATCCCATCCTAATACTCCCCTCCTGACTCCTTCTCCCATCCCTGCATACCGCCTTGAGAAGGCAAGTTAAAGTTGCAATGGTTTTTTATATTTTAAAATTTTAAATTTTTCCATAGCATTAAATATATTCTTACAGTACTAATAAATTTACTTTTTATAATAAGAGAAAATTAATAATTTAAGAAAATATTTATATTTTTTCAACAACCGATTTTTGATCAGAGCATCATCTGATGACATATCAAAATAAATTATATTAGTGATTAAGTTTTTTTTATAAGAATATTATTACTTAACTATATATAAAGAAAACGCTGAAAATAAAATTCTTTTTCAAACCAAAAAACCAAAAATCGCCTATGTCAGAATGAGCTTATATCTTCAAAAATGTCAGTAATTGACAAGATACAAGGTCATTTCTTAATTATTGATATTTTTAAAGATATAAGCTCATCCAGATGTTATACTCATCGAGACTTTTCATTTGAATACCCACTTGACATTTTTCATATATTTTATATATTTGGTATTTGTGAAGTATATGTAATATATAAAATATATTAAAAATTGATGTGGGTACTCAAATTAAAGGTCTTGATGAGTGTAACATCGGGGTGAGCTTATATCTTTAAAAATGTCAATAGTTCACAAGATTCAAGGTCATTTTTTAATTATGTATCTAAAGATAGAGTATTTTCGAATGCAGCCTAAATATTTGTCATAATAAATTGACTATCTAATTTTTCTTATTCTCTTAATAATGTAGATTATTGCTCTCTATACCTTGTACTTGACCGGCGTATCAGGATCATCAAACTTAAATTGGTTCAAGAATCCTGAGTCCTCACTCCAGAACAACCTGATATCTTTGATATCATAAAAGCACATAGCAAGCCTCTCCAGTCCGAGTCCAAAGGCCCAACCAATGCGGTCATTCACTCCTGAGTTTTTGAGAATGTCATGCCTGATGAGTCCACAACCCAGGACTTCTATCCACTGGTCGTTGTAGAAGACCTCCAGCTCCCAAGATGGGTGAGTAAATGGAAAGTACTCGTCTTTCCAACGATATTTAATTCCTAAAAATTGTAAAGAAATACTATGAATACAATTTTTTCTACAAATAATTTATTTATTAAAAAATAATCTAAAAATTAATTATGATAAATTATAAAAAAAAATGTATAATTTATAAAAAAAAAAAAAAAAAAAAATTCAACATGTAGAAATTGTAAAGATAAACTATGAAAATTAAAAAAAACGTTTTTCTACAATCAATTTGTTAAAAAAAAATTAAGTTTCCGCTAATTTATAAAAAAAATTCTACATTTTAAAATTATAAAAAACTATGATTAAAATTTTTCTTTAGTATTTTTCTACAACTAATTTGTTAATTTAAAAAAAATCAAAAAATAATTAATAGTCTGGTAATTCAATACAATTAAAAAAATTTTTTTTCTACAATTAATTAATTGAAAAAAAAAAAAAAAAATAAGAAACCAAGTTTTCGCTAATTTATAAAAAAAAAATTCTACGTAAAAATTGTAAAAAAAACTATATTTAAAATTTTTCTTAAAAGTATTTTTCTACAAAAAATTTGTTAATTTAAAAAAATTAAAAAAATAATTTATAGTCTTCTAATTTAAATTATAAAAAACTGACCTGTGCCAAAAAGCGCTTGAGCAAGACCAACCAAAACAGTCTTCAACTCATGCTCCATAATTTTAACCGCCTCAAGAGTATGCACCGCCTGTTTCTCCTCGCTCTCCTTTCCCTTAACTTCAAACAGCTGCAAGCTCTCAGAACTACAAACATTCTTAAAAACTTCTTCGCGCACACAAAGTCTGACAGCATCAACCTGGTGGAAAACGGGGTAGTGGGTCGAATCAATTTCGTCCCTGCGATAAACATCACCTACAACTAAAAAATTATCCAGGCCCATTTTTATCAGCTCGACCTGGTGAGCAGTAGTGTGTGCTCTCAGCAGCGTCTCGCTGTTGACATAATAGCAGTCGTCCTTGCTCCTGCTGACATGGTCCCTGGGGATGAGCAGCGAGTCAAAGTTCTGGTACACGCTCACCACTGGCGGCAGATTGTCGCAGACGCTGAAGGTCGGGTTCCCGCACTTGTTCCTGAAATTCTTGTAAAAATAATTCACTATCTTCTGTCTGACATGCGACAGAGGGTGGTGCTGCCTCGTGTGCAGGTTCTTGTCCAGCTTGGAGATGATTTTCGGAGTTAAATTCGTCCAGTCGTCGGTGGTGTATTTTTTTCCTAGGAGCTCAAGCTCCTCCGCGTATTTTTTGTTTGCTTTTGCCGCAGTTGAACAATTTCGGAGCAGCAATTTCAGCTGTTTGTTCCGGATCAGTTTTGCTAGAAGATACATTTTTATTTTATTATTATTATTATTATTATTATTATTTATTTTGTAACTTAATTTTTTAATGTCACTTTTTTTTTATATTGTTACTGCGTTGTTCATTGTTTATAAATATATTATTGTTTTTATGTAACTTGGTTAGTTATTTAAATTTCTAGGTTGTGTTCGTTGATCTTCTGCGCATGGGTTAGATAATTCTGAAAAATATTAAAAATAATTAATTATTGTAGAAAATTTAACTGTTAATTTTATGAAAATTAAAGTAGCAGATATTTGATAATTTTTAGAATTTTTTTTTAATAAATAAATTTCTGCAAAGAAAAAAATTAGAAAAAAAAATTGACAGAAATTTTAAAAAATTAAAAATGCAATTTTTTAGAAATAATTTTTTGGCGCAAATTTTTTAGTTATAAAAAATAAAAAATGGTCGAGACTGGTAATTTTAATGTCATGTTAATTTTAAAAAACTTTTTTCTGACAATTTTTGTCATTCTTCTAAAAATAATTTGATAAAAAAAATTTAAAAATTTTGTAAATGTCTATTGATTTTAAAAATTATATCTTTAAAAACTTCAAAAAATTATAAATGCAATTTTTCAAAAATAATTTTCTAGACCTAATTTATTTTTAAAGAAAAATAATGATATTGAAATTGAGGAACGTGATAATTTTTAGAATTTTTTTCAGCTAATAATTTATAATAACAATAAAAATTTATTCTAAAAATTCCATCTTTAAGAATGATATTGCAGTGAATTTTTTAAATTCTTATAACAAATCAATTATAATACTAAAAGTGCTTCCAAAAATTTTCACTGATAATTTTCTTTAATTTTTACATGTGGAATTTTTTAATTAAATTTTTTTCATGACAATTTAATTGTTATAAAATTAAAAAAAAATTTCTAATATCTGTCAACTTCGGTGTTATTTTTAAAAACTAAATTTTTTCAAAAAAAATCAAAAAATTTTTGTGTCTGCTAATTTAAGTGTCATCATTTTTCTTCATAATTTTATTGTTGTAAAAATCTAAAAATTGTCAGCTGTCAGTTAAAATTAATTTAGCAAATATTTAAGAATTTTAAGAACTTTATAACAAATAAATTATGGCAAAAAAAATTGACATGTAGAAATTTAAAAAAATAAAAAATGCAATTTTTTAAAAATAATTTTTTGGAACAATTTTTTTTTCAATAAAATTAAAAAATTTTCAAGTGGCTGCTAATTTAGTCAGGATTATTTGACAACTCACCGGTATTGTTAATTTTTTTTATTGAACAAAATAATAAAATTAAAGAAAAATTCCATTTACATAAAACAATTGCATAAATTATTAAAAAACTTTATTACAAATCCCAAGTTAGTAAAAAATTTGCAAGATCAAATTTTTGTAAACACTACATAAATAAAAGAACTGTCAAAATGGCGGAAACATCTACGGCGGGAATATGCGCCATCTTAAAAAAAGTACTTGCAGCGCTAACGGCGAAAAAGTAAACTACACTAAACATCTGACTCATCTGTCATGTCAAAAAAATTCTATGGCTGAATAATTATTTATAGAAAAAAAACCAAAAAATATTTATCAGTATCGTAATTAGTATAAGTATACATAAAAATACAGTTAGTTCTGTCAGACATAAATATTTATAAATTTTAATTAATAATTATAATTAATACCTCATAGTGATAATTATTAATCATAAATATTGTTCATAGTGATTACAAATTACTGTTGTGCGTCAGAGGTTGAATTTACAATTACAGTAAGTAGGTAGAAGGTTTCCACTTTTTGGCCTTTCATTTCATTTATTATTATTATTATTATTTTTGTTATTATTATGTACACATATTTTATCTTGTAAATAGTCGAGTTAATTGAAATATGTCAGGTGTTTTCACACTTTTTTTTTTCATTTTCTTTTGACAGTAATTTATTTATTTTTATTTTAATTTTCGTGTAAAAATTTTTTTCAATTAATTATTTTTATGACATTAAAGTTAGCAGTCACTAGAGAATTTTTTAATTTTTTTTAACAAACAAATTTGTTAAAAAAAGTTACTTTTAAAAAATTGCATTTTTTATTTTTTAAAATTTATACATGTCAATTTTTTTTTCTAATTTTTTTTGCCATAATTTATGTAAAAAAAAAAAAAATTCTAAAAATTATTAAATATCTGCCAAATTTATTTTCATTAATTTTTCAGGTGGATTAAAAATAAAAAAATCAGAAGATTAAAATGACTTTGATAGAAGGAGTAGGCGATGAAGTTACAGACTTTTTCATAGTTGCAGCAGTAATATTAATCGGCTACATAGCATGGTGCTCCACGAATATTTCCGAGCAACCGTTGATCCGGACTGTTTTGATACTCCAGCACAGAACGCGAACAAGAATCGCAGAGCTCAGGGCGAACACTTCAAGAATTGACACCAGGAACTCTAGTGCTGAAGAGTCTAGTGAAGAGACTATTGTACAGAGTGACAGTCCTGACAGCAGCAATGAAGCTGAACAAAATTGTCCTATTCATAATGGTCCAGGTAGTACAATTACTTTTTTGTTTTTAATTATTTAGTTTATAAAAATTTTTTTTTGCTACTTAATTTTTTTAAATAGATTAGTATTTAAATTATCTATGATACTAAAGTTAGCCGACATTTTTAATTTTTTGATGTTTCTTTAATAATTAAATTATAACAAAAAAAAATTTTTTTAAAATTGCACTTACAGTTTTTAAAGTTTTTGACAAGTGAAATTTTTTTTTTATTTTTTTATAATCATTTTTTCAATAAAAAAAAAATTCTAAAAATTTTTAAATGTGGGCTAACTTAATTTTCATCATAAATTTTGATGAATAATAATTAAAAATAAATTTGACAGCTACACCAGAAGCAACTGGCTCATTAGCAACAGGAACTTCTGAACAAGTATTGATAGAAGCTATGGATTCATTAAACGAAGATACGAATTTACTGCACAGACCCGTTAAATTACCATCTAGCGACACTACCAAGTCAGAAGAAACTGACCAGTCAGCTCCATCTGAACCAACAGACAGTGCTCAAGAAACTTGCGATGAAGACAATGAAATAACAATCAAGTTGAAGTTCATCAACGACGACCAAAAAATAGTAACTGGCCGCTTGAAGGAAATGTTGAGCGAATTTAAAAGGTATATTTTATAAATTTCATCATTTTCTTTTTAATTTATTAATTGACTAACCGGGAATTCGAAATTATTTTAGATATAAGCTCACGCCTACATTACATTCATCGAGACCTTTCATTTGAGTACCCACATGAATTTTTCATATATTTATAAATATTATATATATTTCACAAATACCAAATATATAAAATATATCAAAAATGTCATGTGGGTATTCAAATGAAAGGCCTCGATGAGTATAACATCAAAATCAGCTTATATCTTTAAAAATGTCTATTATTAAGAAATGACCTTGTATCTTGTCAACTACTGACATTTTTAAAGATATAAGCTCATCTTGACATTACACTCATTAAGCCCTTCCGTTTGAGTACCCACATCAATTTTTCATATTTTTATATATATTATATATATTTCACAAATACCAAATATATAAAATATATATGAAATTCCATGTTGGTATTCAAATGAAAGGTCTTCGTGAGCATAACATCAAAATGAGCTTATATCTTTAGAAATGTCAATAATTAAGAAATGACCTTATATCTTATTAACTACTGACATTTTTAAAGATATAAGCTCATTCTGACATTACACTCATCGAGCCCTTTCATTTGAGTACCCACGTCAATTTTTCATATATTTATATATATTATATATATTTTATATATGTATATATGAAAAATATATCAAAAATGCATGTGGGTACTCAAATGAAAGCTCTTGATAAGTATAACAATGGCATGAGCTTATATCTTTAAAAACATCAATAGTTAACAAAGTACAGTGCAATTTAACAAATGTCATTATTTAATAAAGTAAAATTTTCTTTATTTATAGCTCACATTACAGCAGTCACGTAGTGACTGCAAGATTGCTCATTAATTAATTAATTAATTAATTAACTAATTACAGGAGACATTTCCAAGTAGAATTAGACGCCCAAAAGCGAGTCCGCCTAGTGTTCAACGGCCAAGTTCTGCAACCAGACAGCGAAACTCTAGAGAAATGCGGACTATTCCACAACTGCGTGGTCCACTGTTTAGTCCACCAGCCTCTACTACCGACCCCTTCGCATTCGACTTCCTCCCGGTATTCGGGCAACAGCAACCCCGCGTTCCAGAACGTGCCCAACGGCGACAGCGGGATCAGTTCCCTGCACCAGGAGTGGGACCTCAGTCGACTGCTAGTCAGTATTTTGACCATGCTGCTAGCCTTTGCGTGGTACTGCAGGTATCACTACACTCAGCTGTTCACAGTGTCGACCACTTTAGCGCTCTACGTCCTCACTGCGCTGTTCACTCTCGCTCTCTTCGGCAATTTCTTTCCGGACCAAGAAAGCTTAAGGGAAGTCGAGTAATTTTTATTTATAAATTATTCTCGGATTAAATTTATTTATTACCCAGACACTTGCACGACTGATTTTGGTTTTGATTTACTCCAGGAAACTTACCGGGTTTTTTTTTCCCCGGAGAAATTATTTCTCTAATGTAAGATAAATTTTTTATTGAAAAAAAGTCACCTGGGTTTCCTGTTTTCTGTCGAAGCATTTAATTTAAATTAAATTAAATAATAAAAAAAAAAATTATTATTTGTGATTGGATAAAACAAAGCACGGTTTGTTTTGTTGTACTTAGTTGTAAATCATCGATGGTTAATTATTTATATATGTTTATTTACAAGTCAAAAAGTTTATAAATTACTGGCCAAAAAAAGATACATCGTTGGTCACTGGATTTATGATCAACGATTTATTATTTAATTTTAATATTAATATATATAAATATATATATATATATATATATATTGTTTCGTAATAGATATCTCATTTTTCAATAGTTATGTTGATCAATTAATATATATTAATATATAAATGTAACGTTGTATATTTTATTGTTTAGTCGTACTGTCCAACGAGTCAATTGTTAATTAAGCAGGAAATAGTCTTAAATTTTTTTTTTTTAATCTTTTTTGGTTGATTATTTTTTTTTTAATTGAAATTTGCAGACTAAACAATTTTAGTATTTTTTTTATTGAATAAAAATAATTGTTTGATTTTTTGATATAGAAAAATTAATTTGATTTAAATAAAATTTTTTTAACTTAAAAAAATTATTTTTAATTAAGTAGAAAAATTTTTTTTTTATTTAAAAATTTTTTTTTTTCAATTAAAAAATTAAATTAAAATCATATTTTTGGTTGAAAAAGTTTTTTTTAATCAAGTTAATGTTTTTATACCTGATGGAAGAATTTGGATCAAATTGATAAAATTTAATTTTTTAATATTAAATAATTTATTAATAATAAATATTTATCAATTTATCAATTGTTAATAAAAATTTTTTTATTTTCCAAAACAAAAATGGTAATTATTTACAAGTGAAAAATACATAAAAAAAATGAACAATTTAAAAAAAAAAAATATATCAAAAAAAGATAAAATAGAAATTTTATTCAAAAACATGAAAAACAAAATTTTTTCCAATTTTTTTTAGGTAAAAAAGCTATCGAAATCTTTATTTTTTTTTTAACAAGCAGAATGAAAAAAAATTTACAAATGTTAATTTTTCACCTAGATATGGTCAAAAATAATATAAGGTGGATCTTACTTGTAAATAATTACCACATAATTGTTTGATTTTTTGATATTGATAGAAAAATTAACTTGATATAAATAAAATTTAATTGAGTAGAAAAAATATTTAATTAAGAATTTTTATTTTTAATTCAAAAAAATTAAATTAAAATGATCTTTTTGGTTCGATTTATTTTTTTTGAATCAAGTTAAATTTTTTTTAATACTGATAGAAGAATTTGGAAAAAATTAATAAGCTTTAAATTACTTTTTAATATTAAATAATTTATCAAAAGTTAAAAATTAATTTATTTATTAATTGTTAAAAAACATTAAATTTTTTTAGTTTCTTCAATAAATATTTCAATTAGATCAGAATCATTAATTATTTTTCAAAAAAAAATTAATAATACAATTATTACTAGTTAAAAAACATTAAGTTATATTTAATAAATAAATAAATAAATTTTTAGATATAAATGATTTTAATAATTAAATAAATTCTTTTATCAGTGTGTTAATAAATAAACTGAATAATTAAAAATAAAAAGTAAATTAAATTCTGTCTAAAAAATTGTCAATAAATATTTTTCATCCAAAAAAAAAAATATTTATTAATTAAAAAAATTTTAGTACCTTAAAAAAAATTCTTTTATCAGCACCTGAAATAAACTGATAATCATAATAAATTAAACCCAGACCTGACCGTAAAAAATAATGGATAAAATAAAATTAATTGTAACTGAGAAATTATTATTTTCATTGTAAAATCTTAGAGTAGAAATAAATAATTTATTTGATAACTCCCTCTTTTTATAAAAATCCACTATTTATTTTACTTAATTTTTTAATAAATTATTTTTTAATATTAAATTTAATATATGAAAATAATAATAAATATCAGTTTCTCACACCGACTGGTTAATAGCTTTTCACCAAAACTAGCTTCATATCCCAGCCTTTGATCTTCTGAATTTCTTCAATAATAACCTCAGAGTCTCCTTTAAGCTCCGCGAGCTCAAACTGGGGAGTCTTGGTGGTTCCTTCAATGAATCCTTTGTACTCCAGGATAACTTTGTTCAACACACTTGCAGAGTCTTTGATTTTATAATAAACATCAACTGGATCAGTGGGGACCAATTGAGCCTTCTTCCTCAACTTCTGGACCCTGTTGATGACTTCTCTAGCAATTCCTTCATTCTGCATGGATTCATCGGGAGTAATGTCCAGGAGAATCAAGATATTGCCTTCGGAGTGGGCTTCGTACCTCTGAGACAGTTCGTCAGCCCTGGGACCAGAGAAGCTGAACATCAATCTTAAATCTTGCTCGCCTAAGACGTAGCCATTGACTACGATCTCTTTTTTTACTAAGAATTCCTGCAACTGGGCATCAGTGAGCTCCTTGATCGCTTGGGTGACTGCTTTGAATTCTCCACGCAGCCTGAAAAATTATATTGTTTTTAGAAATGAAACTTTATAGTTACAATTGTGAAGTTAGAAACCCTTATATAATATACTAGCTGTTACCCGCCCGCTCCGCTGGGCACTTTATAGAATTGTATTTTTAGATCTAGACTTGAAATTTAATTGGGGTATTGTTTTGACTTGCACAGATTCTAAATTTCATTGGAGTGACCTGTACCTTTTATCCATGTGATTATTCTATATAGCTAGTATTCACTGTAACTTCAATTTGCAATCACTATAACATTCCCGTGGCCTTCTTCCGAAAATGAATAATAATTGACAGGAAGAAAAAAATTTGAAATGAGCATTTAAATTTTCAGTTAAACTAATTGCAGGTCTCATAAGTGAAGTTGAAATCTGCCTAGCTTAAATTAAAGTGCGACGAATTTTGCTATTAATTAAAATTTCCTCCGTGACATAAATTTTTCATAGAAAATTATTTGTACATGTTTTTTACGAATTCTCTTAAAATAAGTAGCCAAATTTCTTTTCCACACCCCAAGTGTTTAGAAAATGCATTCATTACAATCTGTTACATTTCCCGTGATCCCGTAATAAGAACATTTCATCGGTTATGTGATCAGCAAAAAATAAAATGTATGTATAATTCTTAGTCCGTTGACTGAATGGCTACATGTAAAGTTAAATTTTGAAAACCTTACAATGACTTTTTTCGCCGCTGCCAAAGGGACGATTGTTGTAAGAAAATGTCATTATTAAGAAAGAAAAATAATGAAATCTGTTGACCTCGGAGGCCATATCTGCAATTTCTTGTTTCTCTTGAGATTCTATCAAATTTTATATCTGTAGGAACTGTATTTGAAGAATATGAATTTTTTGACAATTATCACTCCCACACTCCTATGTGGGGGAGGAATTTCGTAAGATCCTATTCGAGATATAATTTCTACATTATAAATAGAAGGTTCCTACAAAACTTCGAGTCCATAGAAACTATTGTTTGGAAATAAGAGATTTTCATTGTTAATGCTCCCGCAATCCCTTTTGGGATTAGAAATCGAGAAAACCATTCTTAGCTGAACTTGACATCATACGCGAAGATTCCTACCAAATTTAGAGTCTGCAGAAGTTACAGTTTGGAAATAAAAATTTTAGATTTTAAAACCCGACCCCGCAATCCCTATCGGAAGTAGAATTTTTTCAAATCTGTATCGAGTTAATCTTCTCATAACAAATAAAAGATTCCTACCAAGTTTACAACTTTTAGAAGCTATATTTTGAAAATTAAGATTTTTTATTGTTAACATCTACCACCGCAATCCTTATTGGGGGTGGTTCGTCTTAAAATCCGCTCTTAGATTATTTCTACATCACATATAGAAGATTCCTACCAAATTTAGGGACGATAGGAGCTATATCTTGAAAATAAAAAATTTTATAATTGTTAACACCCACCCCCACAAACCCCTGTGAGGTGAGCTATCGTAAAATTCAATCGTATATTATTTCTACATCTCTTACAGAAAATTCCTACCCGATTTGGAGTCTATGAGAGCTATAGTTTAAAAACGGGAATTTTTCATTGTTAACGCCCCCGCAACCCCTCTTGTGGGTGGAATTTCGTAAAATCCGTTCTCAGCTGACCTCTACTTGGCGAAAGGAATATTCCTGCCAAATTTCAAGTCTCTAGGTCTTATAGTTCCCGAGATATCGTATATATATATATATATATATATATAGATAAGAATCACAGTGCTACTTCCGTATATTATATACCACGCACGAGTTTTTTTTAGAGAAGAATGTATATTTACCTGACTCCTAGAGTCTTGTGATCAGGCTCGGCTCTGAGGACCACTCCGTACTTTTGCTTGTCAGTGGTGACAGTCATCTCCTTGACATTCAGCTCCTCCAGGACGTATTTCTCCAGCTTGACTATCTCCTTAAGGATTTTTTCATCCTGGTGGATGATCACCACCTCGGGCAGCGGGTATTTAACAGGAATTGTCTTGCGGTCGCGGACAATCCGACCCAGGTCGATGACTGTCTGCATGTGGAAGACAGCACGCTCTGTTTCTTCGCTGATTAATTCTTCCTTTGGCTGAGGGATCATCTGGTAGTGGACACTCTCGTTGTTCTTGGTCTTGGGAAGCAGAGGCAACAGCCGCTGGTACATGAACTCGCTCAGGAACGGAGTGAACGGCGCGTTTATACGGACCATTATGTAGATCACGCTGAATAAGGTTCGCAAGGCTAACTCGCAGTCTTTGGATCCTCCTTCGCCTTTTAGACGTCTTCGGTTCATTCGCACGTACCAGTTCGTCAGGTTGTCGATGTATTTCACTAGTTTGGGCACTACGTTGTACAGCCGGTAAAACTTCATTTCTTCTTTTAATAATTTTAAGAGTGTTTGCGTAAATGATAATATCCACTGGTCCATTATGTTGTCTGATGATGGGCTGCTGTCGTCGAAAATGAACTCACGGTTTTCGGAGACTTCGAAACCTTCGATGTTCTGCATAAGGAATCTAGAAAAAAAATTATTTTGTTTTAAAAATTTTAAAAGTTTGATGGTTTGGAATAAAGACAGTTCTAATTTAAATTGTGGAGGAAAGATAAGAGATAGAGGGAACTTAATAAGGATCTTTTTTTGTAGAGAATTAAATTTTCTACAAAAAAAGTTTCTTGTAATTTTAAAAAAAAAAAAAAAACCAATTTTACCATAAGACTTTTGAAACAAATTTTTCCTCTCCAAACAATATTGATTAAAAAAATGTCTGTACCTAAAAGCATTGTACCAGGGCAAAAACACATCCTTGATAACGTCCCTGACTCCTACCTCCTTGAACCTCAAATTCTCAGCCTTAACAACCGGAGAATTAATCAAATACAATCTCAAAGCATCAGCACCAAAGCGATTGATGATTTCCATCGGATCAGGATAATTCTTCTTGCTCTTGGACATTTTCTGGCCATCAGCCGCGAGGACAAGGCCGTTGCAGACCAGGTTTTTGAAGGGTGGTTTGTCAAAAAGCGCGGTAGAGATTACCAAGAGAGTATAGAACCAGCCGCGAGTCTGGTCAATGCCTTCAGCGATAAAATCCGCGGGGAAGCTTTCTTCAAAGTCCTTGACTCTGTCGAAGGGATAATGCATCTGCGCGTAAGGCATGGAGCCAGACTCGAACCAGCAGTCGAATATCTCCGGAATGCGCTTGAGAACTCCAAACTCCGGGCCTCTTCTGGAAGGAATGGTCAAGTGGTCGATGCTCTCGCGGTGGATGTCCGTCACCTTGGTGCCAGTCAGCTCCTCCAACTCAGCGATGCTTCCCACGCAGACGATCTCCTTTTTGTCCTCGGAGATCCACAGAGGGATCGGGTTCCCCCAGTACCTGTTCCTGCTGATAGCCCAGTCGCGGGCGTCGCGCAGCCAATTTCCGAATCTTTTATCCTTTACGTAGTCTGGCACCCAGTAGGTCTCTGATGTCGCGGCTAGAAGCCGGTCCTTGATGTTTTCCACCCTGATGAACCAGGAAGGAACTGCCTTGTAGATCAACGGGGTGTCTGATCTCCAGCAGAAAGGGTAGCTGTGGTTGCACCCGGAGTATTTTATACACTTTCCGTTGGCTAGAAGAGTCTTTACGATTTCTTTGTCTGCTGTTTTTACGTACAGACCTTTAAAGTCGCGGACTGGGTCAGTGAACTTTCCGCAACTGTCTACTGGGCAGATTGGCTCTTGGTCTTTTGTTATTATTCCGGCTTGCAAGTTACATCTGGAATAATTTTAATGATTTGTAAGGAAAAAGTTAAAGCAAAAAAATTAAAATTTTTTCTACGATTTTATCGTGACACCTTTACATCATTTAATTAAAAACCCTCATAAAAAATGAAACCTCACCTGTAATCATCCTCTCCAAAATACGGAGCCTGATGAACAATCCCAGTACCAGTTTCAGAAGTAACATAAGTGTCATTAAGCACCTGAAAAGCTCCCTTTGCCCTAAGATGTTCAAAGTAGTCAAAAGGCGGCTCGTAGCGCTTGCCCTTGAGCTCAGAGCCCATCCTCTTGCCAACAACCTCATACAAATCATCAGACTTATAAACCTGAGACAACGCAGACTCCAGCATGATGTAAGTCTTCTTAGAAACATTGTCCTTGACCAGGACGTACTCAAAGTTAGGATTACAGCAGAGGGCGAGGTTACTGGGCAAGGTCCAGGGAGTGGTGGTCCAGGCAACCAGCGAGACTCCTTCTTCGTCCTTCAGCGGGAAAGCTACAAACACAGCGGGGTCAATAACTTCCCTGTAATTTAACCCGGACTCGAAGTTTGACAGCGGAGTGTTGCAGCCCGTGGAGAAGGGCATCACCTTGACTCCCTGGTAGACAAGTCCCTTGTTGTACATCTCCTTGAAGATCCACCAGATGGACTCCATGTACCAGGGGTAGAGTGTCTTGTAGTCGTTCTTGAAGTCGATCCACCGACCCATCCTTCCCACGACTCGCTCCCACTCGCCAGAGTATTTCATTACGATGCTCCTGCACTCTTTGTTGTAATTATCAATCCCCATCTTCGCAACGTCTTCCGGTCCCTTGATCCCCAGCGCCTTCTCTACCTCGATTTCTACCGGCAGGCCGTGGGTGTCCCACCCGAACCTCCGTTCTACGTAGAACCCGCTCTGGTGGGCGTAACGAGTCACCACGTCCTTGATGGTTCCTGCTAAGATGTGTCCATAGTGAGGCAGACCTGTCGCGAATGGCGGTCCGTCGTAGAATGAGAAACGTGGACGACCCTTTGATAGCCGCAAGCTGTTCTGGAAGACGTCATTTTCTGTCCAGAATTCTATCAGCTTCTCCTCTTCCTTGGGAAAGTTTATTGTCTCCGGCAATTTCTCGCGCATTGATCTGAAAAGTGACAACATTAAAATTAGCAGTCACTTGACAACTTTTTTATTTTTTTTTAACAAACAAATTTGTTCCAAAAAATTATTTTTAAAAATTTTGTAAAATTTCTCAGTCAATTTTTTTTGCCATAATTTATTTGTTGAAAAACTTCTTAAAATGATCAAATATCTGGTAAATTAATTATCATGAGAAGTGCCTTAATTATTTCGTGTTACAGATGCCATAAGGGCATATAAAAATTATACGCCCTTATGGCACCCGGGAACCATAAGGGCATATAATTTTTTTTTTCGCATTTCTCCACATTTCGGACAAAACTACGTCGATTCCCAAAAAAAAATTTTTTATATGCCCTTATGGCTTTTCACCAGGACCTTTTGCCGGTATATGCCCTTATGACATCTGAAACGCGATTTGTTAAAAAAAATTATTAAATTTCTGCTAAATTAATTTTAATGTATTTTCTTTTTATATTATTAAAATTTTTGGTGATTTTGACAATACTTACAGATTTGGATGGATTGTTTATATTTATAAATTAATTCTGTAATATTTTTACAAGTATGATTTAAGTTAGGAAACACGTGTTGCTGTTTTGTCAACACTTCACACTTTCACTTCCAACGTGCTTGTGTAATGTGTACAGCGGGTTGCCACTCAATGTATAAGGATAGGGAGCTTATTCGACACATCAGTTTTGTAGCAATACCAATCCAATTGACTTTAACAGTAAAATCTCGAAATCCGCGCAGATACTTTTAGTTTCTTACTAGATAAAGTGGTAACCTTGTTTTCTCGTAGCACACTCTACTGATAGACCAACAAATCAAGTGGACTCTCCACACTTTAAGAATAACAAAAATTATTTCATCCTGATATTGGAAGTTAGCTAAAAGCTTACTGATATGGCTTTTCAGTTACGAGAACGCGGGATCGAATCTCCGCGTAAACATTTTTTTTTTTTAATTTGAGGATCTACCAGTTATAATAATAATAATAATAATAATAAGCAATTTAATATTTTTTAATTTTCAAGTGGTAAAAATGAAGGAAATCCGGTGTAGGGTATTAAATATTATACTTTTATTTTGTTATACAGTAATATGCAGTTTAACAATTAAAATAAATAAACTTACGTTCTATAATTAATAAATTATTTAGCTACACCTTTTAATTGAGCAATTTTAGTTGCACTGCCAGATCGTACCTCCGCGGATTTCAATTCTTTATTACGTATCTGACATTCAACCTGGATTAATACAGTGGCTAAACGCGTAACGAAATAATCTTTCATGATCTCAGCATGCTTTTCTCCATTACACAATACATTGCACTTGATACTAAAAGATACATCTAACATTATCACAGTATCTTTGTAAATATTTAAATTGTGTAACGATGGACTAATTTGACAATAAAATAGACTAATTGCATGCGAAATAGATTGACTAATTTCATTAGAAAATCCATTTTTAGATACTGATCCATCTGCATCTATTATATATAAATATGTATCACAGGTTTTACATTTAGACTTTTTGCGTAAACTTTTTAATAATAAGTTCTCCACGACTTTTATATGAGGACCTTTGGAATCAGATGAAAGAAAATTTGAAAGCAATTCGTCAACATCTAATTCACCCTCTTCAATGTGATACTGTATCGCGGAATCATCAATAGTTTCCTCGATGAAACTCAATTGATTGAAATACAAACTATCATTATTATTTGGAAGCATCGGTTCACATATCATTTGACTAGTTCCAAGTTTAACATTTTCAGTTTCATTGCTCAATATTGCTTCTTTTAAAGAATCATTAGAGCAAGTCGTTTTAGAACTATCAATTAAATTACTTAAATCAACTAAATTTTTAGTTTTGTGGCTTTCACTGTTTTGTTTATCTAACTTTAAATCAGAATATCTCGATAACAATAATGTTTTAAAAACATTTTCGAAATGTGCACAACATAAATTGTCATCATCGCCTTGAACATGTCTTAATATACCAAAAAAATTTTCAAGCATGTCTTGAGTAGTGTTTCTGAGATTAAACTCCGTTAAACCACCTATAGAAAATAAATACGATGTCAAACCAATTAATGCTGTTAAATTATCGCTAAAAGCTTGTGATGTAGGTGTTCGTATAGTTCGGTTGACAGAATTTTTCAAAGACTTCCAGTTGCCGTACTTAAATTTTAATGTCTGAAATATATTAGCCAATTCTACCCATTTCCGAATATGTCCTGATGCTGCGTTTACATTGCGTCGACTTGTATCACGCTTGGAATCAGGTTTTTTTAAATTACTACCATTCATATGGTCGAACGCATCATCAAAAAATTTTAAAACTTCGGCAGTTTCAGCAGTTGTAGGATATTTCTCTGGAAACATTTTAGCAAATTCTGCCATACTGTCAGCTAAAGTAGAACTGAATACCTGGCTCGCGTAGCACACCTTCATTTTATTGCTGGAAGATGGAAAGACATGCTCTTCAGTAATGTTAATTGCTTCATTATTATCGCGAGCATAGCAAAATAGAGCTATGATCCTTTTTTGCCATTTATTTCGATGACATTACCATCAAACAACCATTTGTTTTTATCTTCCTCAGTCTGGCTTCGCCACCAATCAGCCCAATCCCCCATGAAACAATTTCTTGTTGTTTTTATTAAATGAGCAATATCAAACAGAATGTAAATTTTCTTATCGTAGTCAGTGATTTTGAAAAATACACCTTCTTTCCCGCCTTCTGTTTTATTCCGTAATGAATCAAGTGCCGTTTTATTTGGTTTTCCTTGGTCCGTCACGATGCCAACAACATCTAGACCAGCATCAACTACATCTTGAATAGTTTTAACAATTATTTTCTTCAACTCTTCAGAGTTAAAACCTGATTTAGAAAAATAGTAGCAAATTGGTTGTGAGAAAGTGTAGTGTTGATACCGGATATCATGCCAACTAATACAGATCCAGCAATGTCGGAAGTTCTATTTCCTGAGCCGTCGGTAGCAAACCCAGTAACAGATGAAGAACCAGGAGTAAACACTAATCTTTTTTTCAGTTTAGTTTCATCCATAACCAATAAAACATTTTTATCTTTCGGATCGAGTGTTTGGAGTTTGATAGCCTTAGTAACATGTTCAGTAGTTCCTGGTGTGATCGATATTTTAGTTAATAATCGATTAATCGTTCGTTTTGAAGGCAACGATGGAACGAAATCACGCAGATGATTATAGCCATAACTTCCGTGTTTCGCCACAGATAGAGACAAAATTTTTTGTTCTACAGAATACCGACGGCCTTGTGGCTTTTTACTTCTGTTATTATGCTCCATTTGAACCATTTGCTGTAATGCTGGAGGCTCTGTGCTGTTTATTGTCGACGAAATGCCACTGCTCGTAGAACATTGCATACGATTAATGAGTTCCTCTTGATGGAAAACTTTATTTTTCAGCTGTTCAACAATTCGTCTCTCTTTTTGGATAGCCGTTAATAATAATTTCTTCTTAGGGCTAATGTGTACATTATCTAAATACGTGAATATAAACAGCTGACTTATAGTAGCGGCTCAAGCGCATGCGCGAGTGAATTCAACTGACACCCTGTAGTGGGAAAACTGAGTATGGCGCAAATTACCCATCCAATTACCAATCAAAATGGCGTAAAATAAAAAGTTAAGTTGGCAACATGAAAATAAAATTATAATTGGACGTAACATTCTTACCATCCGTCGAAAAACTCAAACCCTGTACCCTCACAATCTTATAATTTTTAAATGCATTTTAGTAATTAGATGTTTAAATTATTTTAATCATTAGAATTATTGCAAAAACCTCCTCAAAACTAAAATTCAAAATTCTGGACAATATGAATGCTCCAAATTACCCAGTGTATTAATTTTATTAAGATTTTTAAATTTCGGGCAATATGAGTGCTCCTAATTACCCGAGACGTGCTTCATTCGTTATTTTAAACAAAAAATCATCGCGTTAAAGAAAAAGGTAGGTATACTGAATTGAGGGGAAATGGTAGTAAAATGAGGGGAAGTGATAACTTATCAGAGGGATATCTTAGGGGGGGGGGAGCACTGTATATTTAATGAAAAAATTTTTTTAAATAAATAATTCTACTAATAATTAAATAAATTCTTTTATCAGTGTATTAATAAATAAGATAATTAAAAATAAAAAGTAAATTAAATCAAACAGTTAAAAATATCTAAAAAATTCTCAATAAATATTTTTTATTCCAAAAAAAATATTTATTAATTAAAAAAATTTTAGTACCTTAAAAAAATTTTTCTATCAGTTTACACCTGAAATAAACTGATAATCATAAATAAAACCAAGACCTGACCGTAAATAATAGATTAAATTAAATTTATTGTAACTGAGAAATTATTTTCATTGTAAAATCTTAGAGTAGAAATGAATAATTTATTTGATAACTCCCTCTTTTTATAAAAGTCCACTATTTATTCTACTCAAGTCAAACTCCAGCACTCATACTTGTAGCAGCGTTCCATCCAATATTTCAACTTCAGGAACCTCAACTTCATCTTCAAAAATCTCTTCAATCTTCTTCTTCAGCTGTCCTCTGCCCAGTCCGTACCTTCCTTTCGGATTCTCCAGCATCAGCGTCGCTTTCTTCTCACCTTTTTTCAAATTAACAAACTTGCAAGCCGGCATTCCTATCTTTTCTTCCTCCTGACCAACAGGACCAAGTTTTTTGTAAACCAAAACAGTTTTTCCATCTAAACCCACCAAGTTTCCTCCAACTAATTTCTTTCCGTCATAAATTTCAAAATTCTTCCCATAAATTCTAAAAACCACCGTGATTTCTTCCCTCAATCCCTCAAAATCAATTATCTTCCCAGTTTTAGGATTCTCCAGCAAAACAGTTCCAATATCTCCAGGATTAGCATCCTGGGACTCAACATCACCTAATTTAATATTGACAAACTTCAAAAAAGGCTTGTCTCTATTTTTGGAACTTCTTTTCACCAAAACTAGCTTCATATCCCAGCCTTTGATCTTCTGAATTTCTTCAATAATAACCTCAGAGTCTCCTTTGAGCTCCGCGAGCTCAAACTGGGGAGTCTTGGTGGTTCCTTCAATGAATCCTTTGTACTCCAGGATAACTTTGTTCAACACACTTGCAGAGTCTTTGATTTTATAATAAACATCAACTGGATCAGTGGGGACCAATTGAGCCTTCTTCCTCAACTTCTGGACCCTGTTGATGACTTCTCTAGCAATTCCTTCATTCTGCATGGATTCATCGGGAGTAATGTCCAGGAGAATCAAGATATTGCCTTCGGAGTGGGCTTCGTACCTCTGAGACAGTTCGTCAGCCCTGGGACCAGAGAAGCTGAACATCAATCTTAAGTCTTGCTCGCCTAAGACGTAGCCATTGACTACGATCTCTTTTTTTATTAAGAATTCCTGCAACTGGGCATCAGTGAGCTCCTTGATCGCTTGGGTGACTGCTTTGAATTCTCCACGTAGCCTGAAAAATTATATTGTTTTTAGAAATTAAACTTTATAGTTACTATTGTGAAGTTAGAAACCCTTATATAATATATAAGAATCACAGTGCTACTTCCGTATATTATATGCCACGCACGAGTTTCTTTTAGAGAAGAATGTATATTTACCTGACACCCAGAGTCTTGTGATCAGGCTCGGCTCTGAGGACCACTCCGTACTTTTGCTTGTCAGTGGTGACAGTCATCTCCTTAACATTCAGCTCCTCCAGGACGTACTTTTCCAGCTTGACTATCTCCTTAAGGATTTTTTCATCCTGGTGGATGATCACCACCTCGGGCAGCGGGTATTTAACAGGAATTGTCTTGCGGTCGCGGACAATCCGACCCAGGTCAATGACTGTCTGCATGTGGAAGACAGCACGCTCTGTTTCTTCGCTGATTAATTCTTCCTTTGGCTGAGGGATCATCTGGTAGTGGACACTCTCGTTGTTCTTGGTCTTGGGAAGCAGAGGCAACAGCCGCTGGTACATGAACTCGCTCAGGAACGGAGTGAACGGCGCGTTTATACGGACCATTATGTAGATCACGCTGAACAAGGTTCGTAAAGCTAGCTCGCAGTCTTTGGATCCTCCCTCGCCTTTCAGGCGTCTTCGGTTCATTCGCACGTACCAGTTCGTCAGGTTGTCGATGTATTTCACTAATTTGGGCACCACGTTGTACAGCCGGTAGAACTTCATTTCTTCTTTTAGGAGTTTTAAGAGTGTTTGGGTGAATGATAAGATCCACTGGTCCATTATGTTGTCTGATGAAGGACAGCTGTCGTCGAAAATGAACTCACGGTTTTCGGAGGATTCAAATCCTTCGATGTTCTGCATCAGGAATCTGGGATAAAATTTATTTTGTTTTTAAAATATCAAATTTTGATTATTTGAAATTTGAAATTAAAATAGTTTAAGTGAAAATTATGGATAAAAGGTGATAAATAGATATAAATTTATAAGGACCTTTTTGTAGAGAATTCAATTTTCTAAAAGAAAAAATTTCTTATGATTTTTTTGTATTTTTAATATTTAACCCAGAATTTATATTTTAAACTTTTTAAACACTTGGTTTAATAATTTCTAACAATTTAACATGATTTAACCTAAATTTGAATTTGAAATTCCAGGTATATAACAAGAGAGAATTCAATTTTTTACAAAAAAGATATCCCGTGATTTTTTTGTATCTTTAATATGAAGCCCAGAATTTGGATTTTAAACTTTCTAAACACTTGGTTGAAAAATTTGTAATAATTCAACATTAAACCCGAATTTGATTTTGAAATTCTGGGTTAAAGAAAAAAGATAGAAGAAAATTGATAGACCTTTTTGGAAAAGAATTAAATTTTCTTATTATTTTTTTGTATTTTTAGGATTCAACCCAGAATTTTAAAAATCCCTTTTTTTAACTTCTAAAAAAAATTTAACCTGTTCCAAACTATCAATGAATAAAATTTTGCTTCATTAAATAATGACTTTTGTTAAATTGCACTGTACTTTCTTAAACATTGACGTTTTTAAAGATGTAAGCTTATCCCGATGTTACACTCATCAAGAGCTTTCACTTAAGTACCCACAAGCATTTTCATATATTTTTCATATATACATATATATATAATATATATAAATATATGAAAAATTGATGTGGGTACTCAAATAAAAGTTCTTTATGAGTGTAACATCGGGATGAGCTTATATCTTTAAAAATGTCATTAGTTGACAAGATCGCAATGTCGGTTCTTAACTATTGACATTTTTTAGAAAATAAACTCATCCTGATGTTACACTCATCGAGACCTTTCATTTGAATACCTACATGGCATTTTTATATATTTTATATATATGGTATTTGTGAAATATATGTAATATATAAAATATATGAAAAATAAAATAAACTCATCCTGATGTTACACTCATCGAGACCTTTCATTTGAATACCTACATGGCATTTTTATATATTTTATATATATGGTATTTGTGAAATATATGTAATATATAAAATATATGAAAAATTGATGTGGGTACTCAAATGAAAGGTCTCGATGAGTGTAATAGCGAGGTGAGCTTATATCTTTAAAAATGCCAATAGTTTACAAAATAAAAGTTCATTCCTTAATTATTGACATTTTTAAAGATATAAGCTCATCCCGATATTACACTTATCAAGAGTTTTCGTTTGAGTACCCACAAGCATTTTCATATATTTTTCATATATACATATATATTATATATATGAACATATGAAAAATTGATGTGGGTACTCAAATGAAAAGTCTTGATGAGTGTAACATCATTATGAGCTTATATCTTAAAAAATGACAATAATTCACGAGATACAAGGTCATTTCTTTATTATGTATCTAGAAATAGAGAATTTTTGAATGCACCCTAAATACATCATAAATTGACTTTCGGTGAGAATGATATAAAACCTTGAAAAGGCACAAATTCAAGTCGACCTTTGCAATGACACTCAATTTCACTAAACAATTAAAAAAATTTCTGTACCTGAAAGCATTGTACCATGGCAAAAACACATCCTTGATAACATCCCTGACTCCTTCCTCCTTGAACCTCAAATTCTCAGCCCTAACAACCGGAGAATTAATCAAGTACAATCTCAAGGCATCAGCACCAAAGCGATTGATGACTTCCATGGGATCAGGATAGTTCTTCTTGCTCTTGGACATTTTCTGACCATCAGCCGCGAGGACAAGGCCGTTGCAAACCAGATTCTTGAAAGGTGGTTTGTCAAAAAGCGCAGTGGAGATTACCAAGAGAGTATAGAACCAGCCGCGAGTCTGGTCAATGCCTTCAGCGATAAAATCCGCGGGGAAGCTTTCTTCAAAGTCCTTGACTCTGTCGAAGGGATAATGCATCTGTGCGTAAGGCATGGAGCCAGACTCGAACCAGCAGTCGAATATCTCCGGAATGCGCCTGAGAACTCCAAACTCCGGGCCTCTTCTGGAAGGAATGGTCAAGTGGTCGATGCTCTCGCGGTGGATGTCCGTCACCTTGGTGCCAGTCAGCTCCTCCAACTCAGCGATGCTTCCCACGCAGACGATCTCCTTTTTGTCCTCGGAGATCCACAGAGGGATCGGGTTCCCCCAGTACCTGTTCCTGCTGATAGCCCAGTCGCGGGCGTCGCGCAGCCAATTTCCGAATCTTTTATCCTTTACGTAGTCTGGCACCCAGTAGGTCTCTGATGTCGCGGCTAGAAGCCGGTCCTTGATGTTTTCCACCCTGATGAACCAGGAAGGAACTGCCTTGTAGATCAACGGGGTGTCTGATCTCCAGCAGAAAGGGTAGCTGTGGTTGCACCCGGAGTATTTTATACACTTTCCGTTGGCTAGAAGAGTCTTTACGATTTCTTTGTCTGCTGTTTTTACGTACAGACCTTTAAAGTCGCGGACTGGGTCAGTGAACTTTCCGCAACTGTCTACTGGGCAGATTGGCTCTTGGTCTTTTGTTATTATTCCGGCTTGCAAGTTACATCTGGAATAATTTTAATGATTTGTAAGGAAAAAGTTAAAGCAAAAAAATTAAAATTTTTTCTACGATTTTATCGTGACACCTTTACATCATTTAATTAAAAACCCTCATAAAAAATGAAACCTCACCTGTAATCATCCTCTCCAAAATACGGAGCCTGATGAACAATCCCAGTACCAGTTTCAGAAGTAACATAAGTGTCATTAAGCACCTGAAAAGCTCCCTTTGCCCTAAGATGTTCAAAGTAGTCAAAAGGCGGCTCGTAGCGCTTGCCCTTGAGCTCAGAGCCCATCCTCTTGCCAACAACCTCATACAAATCATCAGACTTATAAACCTGAGACAACGCAGACTCCAGCATGATGTAAGTCTTCTTAGAAACATTGTCCTTGACCAGGACGTACTCAAAGTTAGGATTACAGCAGCTGATGAACAATCCCAGTACCAGTCTCAGCAGTGACATAAGTATCATTAAGCACCTGAAAAGCTCCCTTGGCCCTAAGATGTTCAAAGTAGTCAAAAGGCGGCTCGTAGCGTTTGCCCTTGAGCTCAGAGCCCATCCTCTTGCCAACAACCTCATACAAATCATCAGACTTATAAACCTGAGACAACGCAGACTCCAGCATGATGTAAGTCTTCTTAGAAACATTGTCCTTGACCAGGACGTATTCAAAGTTAGGATTACAGCAGAGGGCGAGGTTACTGGGCAAGGTCCAGGGAGTGGTGGTCCAGGCGACCAGCGAGACTCCTTCTTCGTCCTTCAGCGGGAAAGCTACAAACACAGCGGGGTCAATAACTTCCCTGTAATTTAACCCGGACTCGAAGTTTGACAGCGGAGTGTTGCAGCCCGTGGAGAAGGGCATCACCTTGACTCCCTGGTAGACAAGTCCCTTGTTGTACATCTCCTTGAAGATCCACCAGATGGACTCCATGTACCAGGGGTAGAGTGTCTTGTAGTCGTTCTTGAAGTCGATCCACCGACCCATCCTTCCCACGACTCGCTCCCACTCTCCAGAGTACTTCATTACGATGCTCCTGCACTCTTTGTTGTAATTATCAATCCCCATCTTCGCGACGTCTTCCGGTCCCTTGATCCCCAGCGCCTTCTCTACCTCGATTTCTACCGGCAGGCCGTGGGTGTCCCACCCGAACCTCCGTTCTACGTAGAACCCGCTCTGGTGGGCGTAGCGAGTCACCACGTCCTTGATGGTTCCTGCTAAGATGTGTCCATAGTGAGGCAGACCTGTCGCGAATGGCGGTCCGTCGTAGAATGAGAAACGTGGACGACCCTTTGATAGCCGCAAGCTGTTCTGGAAGACGTCATTTTCTGTCCAGAATTCTATCAGCTTCTCCTCTTCCTTCGGGAAGTTTATAGTCTCTGGTAACTTCTCTCGCATTATTCTGAAAAGTGCTGGGTGAATTTAGGTTATGTTTTAGATATTAGGTTTTTTAGCAGTCACTTGATTATTTTATAAAATTTAAAAAAAAAATTTGTTGAAAAAATTGTTTTATAAAAATTGCATTTTTTATTTTTTTATATTCCTACATGTCAATTTCTTTTTGCCGTAATTAATTATTAAAATTATCAAATTTCTGCTCAATTAATTTTAATATTTTTTTTTATGGTTTTTATTATTGAAATTTTTGGTGATTTTGATGGTACTTACAGATTTGGATGGATTATTTATTATTTATTATGTTTTTTCAAGTATTATTTAAGTTAGGAAACATGTGTTGCTGTTTCGTCAGCAATTCCACTTCCAACGTGCTTGTGTGACAGAAAATAAAGTTTAGTTATTTATATACCTGTCTCTATTTTTTGGTTATGGCGCGAGTTAATAGATTAAATTTTTATTCATGAATCTGAAAATAAATATTGACAATTAGATTTTATGATAAAAAAGAAATTAATAAATATTAATGATATTAAAATTAGCAGACATTTTACAATTTTTGATTTTTAAATCAATAAAATTATTTTTCAAAAATTACACCTAGAATTTTTAAAATTTTTTCTTTTATTTTTTTAAAAATAATTTTTGTCAATAAAAAAATTCTAAAAATTTTCTGATGTCAGCTAACTTAACTTCTATTAATGATTATTTTTTTTTTTGTTCTATAATTAATTTTTCACATTTACTATAATTATTTTACATTTTTAAATTAAAAAAATTGATTTGTAATTTTGTACGTTGAAAATAATAATAAACAAAAACTGACAGTACCAACACTAGATAAAAAATATTTAAATAATAATCCACGCGCCCTCTAGTGTCAAAAAAAAGAAACCACAATAATGTACCATTGACATGGCAAGATTTTTTGGATTACAAATAATAATTGTAAGTTAAAAACATAATTAAAGTTTAATTACCTGTCAACAATAATTTATTGACTGACTGATAATAACAATCAATAAACGAATTAAAAGTTTTAGTAACTAACCAAAATTATCACTATTGTTATAACTCAATTCCGTATGTTGACATGTAGGTTAAAAAATTTGACAAGTACTCAGTAAACGTCAGTTTGTTTATTTAATAACAACAAAATATTTTGCAGGAAAGTTGAAGAGGCTTAGAGTGAAAATAAAAATAAAAAATGGGAACAACTCAGAGTCGGTATGATGATTTATCAAAAAATGTATGCTTGGATCAATTTTGTGGAATTGAATCAATAGCACCCAATGACACATTCTGGAACAGATTTCTGTCATTCAATATTCGGCCCCCGGTGACCAGGAATGACCAGATAGAACTCGGGGCAAGGTTGGACTCGACTTGCCAGCGGCTGCTTGCTAATAATTTAACCACTGGCAATTTTGGATCCTTGATAACTGTCGCGTTGATGAGGACTAATGAACTGTTGAATTCTATACAGACTCAAAAGTAAGTTGATTTTTTAAAAAATTGGACAATACTCTTATTTTTTTTTTTTTTTTATTATTTTTTATTTAAAGAATTTTTTTAATTAATTTTAATAATTGTTTTTTTAATAAAGCAGTATTATGTCAGCATGGCAAACATACAACGCGCTGTTTGCTGTAAGGTGTATTTTAAAGTATTTAGTGGAGACTGTTGGAGAAGACGAGATGATTAAACATACAGAAGCTGTGCCTGATAATATAGATGAAAATCAAGTTTATTCGGGAAGACTTGAATCATTTGTTGAAGCTCTTTTAGAAATAATTATAGATGTGCCTTTATGGTAAGTATTTGTTTTATAATTAGATTAATAATTTATAGTCTTAAGGGGCACAACTAGTGTGAGATTTAAAAAAAATTGATTTTTTTTTTATATTTCCAATTTCCAAAAATCACCTTTTTTAGGCTGTCACTAGTTGTGCCCCTTAAAATAATATTTTAGTTACTGTTAATTTTTTTTTATAATTAATTATTTAAAATTTATTCTGGTAATTGAATTGTTTAATTGTACACTTTGTTTTTTTTTTTTTTATTCTATTTCAATTTTAAGAGCTTGATTAGAAGAATTTATAAAGTTAAAAATCAACATTCTGGGCTAAATATTAAAAATACAAGAAAAAAAGACCTTTTTTGTAGGAAATTAATTCTTTAAAAAAAATTTTACATCAATTCTTACGTATCTCTTTTCATTTGTTCAAAAAAATTTTTTTTAATTCTCTTAAAAAACTATTTTATCACATCACGCCTTATAAAATTAAAATTCAAAATTCTGGGTTAAATATTAAAAATAATAAAAAATCATAAGAAATCTTTTTTGAAGAAATATTTAATTCTCTACAATAAATAATTTATCGATTTTTTCGTATCTTGCATTCTTTACTTAAAATATCTCCCAATTCAAAACTCTATGAAATTTCTAAAAAATTTTATTTACAACTCAACAAAAATTTACAATAATTTTTTTTTTTTTTTTCCAGTGAATTCACATACGTCGTACATCTAGAAGCAATTAACTGTCTACTAGTACTCCTGTCAGTCCAACTATTTTCCCAAACATCTGCCGACTACAGTCCAATTTACAGAATACTAATGAGTGATGAACACACAGTACACGCACCAATTGTCGTTTGTACTTTACTCAACAATTTTGCGCAACAAGAACATGCACCGCCTGGTTTACTAGCGCGTGAGGCCGGTGGTAGTATTGTTTTTAGCATCGCAGGTACTTGAACTTTCTATTTTTATTGAATTTTTTTTATAAAAAACTAGCAACCTTGCAGTCACTATGTAATTGCCGTAGTGAACTATAAATAGATAAAATTTAGATAAAATCTCTCCTGGACACAAAATTTTTCTTATCCTCTTTATAATATATATTAATCATTAATTAAAAATATTAAATTATAAAACTTTAAGCTGGACTGTGGAATGTGATAACCCGCGGAATGGGCAACAGCTTCAAGAATATCCAGGTGTCGAGCAACGGTCTTGTGGAAGATGAAGAAAAAAAAAGAGACATCGAGACACCGCTGGCTAGTCAATCATTACTATTACTTTTAGTATTAACCAACCATTGTACCACGACGTACAATCCTTACCGCGATGCGCTATTCTCGTTTACAAACATCCAAGATGATAACTCCCACTCGACGCCTTCTACGAAAGCTGTCACGCCTTTTCGCTTCAATTTAGACAAATTGTACAGTACTATTTGTAAAGTTACTAATACTGATGAAGTTACGCTGTTGTTGTACATGTTGTTGCATCGAAATCCTGCTGTTAAGGAACATATTATCAAGAAGCCAGATATACAGTTACTTGTAAGTATTTCATAAATTTATTTTTCAAAAATTTCAATAAGTTCATTTTAAAAATTTTAGAAGAATTTGAATTCTGCAATTTATTATTTTGATAAGAAATATTTAGAGTTTTATGCCAAATAAGATTTTTCAAAAGTTAGTTCTTGTTTTTGCCGCCAGGTGGCCTACGGTTCTCGCTTCCAGAAAAATCTTACCAGAGTATATATGAGGGCGGCGCAAAATAACGAACTATTTTTTTTTTTTTCTTTATTTTACTATGAAGAAATGTTTGTTTATAATTTTTTAAGAGCCCTAGACAAAAATCGGTTTGATAAAAAATTGTTTTAGGGTTTGCTCAAGATTTTTAAAACTTTCTATGTTTTTCTCTTAATTTTTCAATACTAAATTGACATCCTAAACAATAGAAATAAACCATTAAACCAATTAAAGTAAAAAAAGAAATTATTATTACCGTATTTTTAATTTAAAATTCCTCATTTGACATCTGAAGAAATTTTTTAAAACGGATGATATAAAATATTAAAAATTATATTTCTGACATTTTTAACATATAAAAATCTCGAGCTCTAAAAAATTTTTGTCTAGAAAAAAAAATTCCAATTTTTTTAACACAGCGCTAAAATAAAAAAAAATTTTTCTGTTTCAGGTGACACCAATTTTACAGATATTATATCACGCTCCAGATAATACTTCACACCACATTTACATGTCATTAATTATTCTTTTGATACTAAGTGAAGACGAGACTTTTAATAAAAGAATTCATGATATAGTAAGTCTCATATTTCTTCTTTAATTTTATTTCTTCTAATAAGTTAATAAATAAATAAATAAAAAAAAAAAATTAAATTTTATTACAGATGCTTAAAGGAGTTCATTGGTACACTGAAAGATGCATAAGTGAAATTTCATTAGGTGGATTGTTAATTCTTGTTGTAATCCGGACGATACAGTATAATATGTTAAAAATGCGTGTAAGTATTTAAGTAATTTACAAAAAAATTTTTTTTAATAATATTAAGTACAAAAAAAATAATAATAAAATTACAAAATGATAAAAAAATAAAAAAATGCATGGAATATTTTAGTAATTTACAAAAAAAAAATTTTTTTAATAATTTTAAGTACAAAAAAAAAAATAAAAAAATTACCATATAAATTTACCAAAGTGCTTTTTGCTGTAAATTATGTATAACTTAAACAGCAATCCAACCTTAATTTACATTCAAATAGTTTTATCACCTCTAATTTTTTTTCAGGACAAATATCTGCATACAAATTGTCTGGCAGCATTAGCGAACATGTCTGCGCAATTTCACGCCCTGCACCCGTACGTGAGTCAGCGTCTGCTAAGTTTATTTGAGACACTGGCCAAGAAGCATGGCCGCCTGGAAGTGAAGATCCGTACCCAGCCGACGAGTCCGTACCAGCCTACAGAAAAGACTACACCGTCTACCTCGGTGAGCTCGCTGTCCAACGGCGAGGTCATCAACACCGAAGACTTGATCCAAGACTTGACGATACTCGAGGAAGTCCTCAGGATGGTGCTCGAGATAATAAACAGCTGTCTGACTCACCGTCTGGCACAAAATCCCAATTTAATTTACACCTTGCTCTACAAAAAGGACATTTTTCAACCCTTCCAGACACATTCCGCCTTTCAGGACATTATTCAGAATATTTACTCGGTGATTAATTTCTTCTCTTATAAACTCGAGCAGACTGACCAGTCTCAGATTGGAGTGAGCCAAGTGCTCACAACGATTCAAGACGGAACCTTGCACTGGCCCAAAGACCGGCTCAGGAAATTTCCTGAGCTCAAGTTTAGGTATGTTGAAGAAGAACAACCTGAAGAATTTTTTATACCTTATGTATGGAGTGTCGTTTGTCAGTGTGCGTTGTTACACTGGAATGCTGAGAACATTAAACTGTTTACTCCTAATAGTTCAGAACAAACTACTATTGTTGTTTGCTGATAATTGTTATTTATTTATTTATTTATTCAGTTTTAAGATTTTTTTTTTTTGAGGCAATTTAAGAAAATCCGGTCGCTTGTTAAGAAAATTATAAAGATTTTTTGAGATAATTACATTTTTACTGATATAAGCTCATCATGATGTTATACTCATCGAGACCTTTCATTTGAGTACCCACATGCATTTTTGATATATTTTTCATATATACATATATGTAATGTATATAAATATACAAAATATATGAAAAATTGATGTGGGTACTCAAATGAAAGGTCTTGATGAGTGAAACATCATGATGAGTTTATATCATCGAAAATGTTAATATTTACTCAAATAAAAGGTTTCGATTAGTGTAACATCATGGTGAGCTTCATACTTTGTTATTTTGCCTTGTATCTTCTTGAATATTGACATTTTTTAAGATATAAGCTCATCATGATGTTACACAAATGAAGACTTTTCATTTGAGTACCCACATGACTTTTTCGTATATTTATATATGACATATATATTCCAAATACTTATATATATAAAATATATAAAAAAAAACCATGTGGGTATTCAAAAAAAAGGTCTCGATTAACGTAACATCATGATGAGCTTATATCTTGTTATTTCACCTTGTATCTTCTTAAATATCGACATTTTCGAAGATATAAGCTCATCTTGATGTTACACTAATCGAGACCTTTCATTTAAGTACCCACATGGTTTTTTCGTATATTTATATATATGACTTATATAAATAACATAAATATACATATATATCTCAAATACTTATATATATATAAAATATATAAAAATAATCATGTGGGTACTCAAATGAAAGGTCTCGATGAGT